TTGGGATTATGGTTACACACACATAATAAAAAACATAACTAATAAGGCTTTAAGGAAATGATTTTTCTTGTCCTCAATGGCATTAGCCAATGAGTAGGCAGTCACTGGTGTTATTTTGGTAGATCTGTGAAGCAATGCAGCACTAGGACCTTTTTTTGCCACATATGATGTGCAGTTGTTTGCTTACATTTTTTAGGGAAAAATAAGAGTGTGCATTATACATGGGTATAATGATCAATACCATGGGTATCATAATCCCATGTATAATGTGCACAAAAAATGTGGGTGTGCATTACACATGGCAAAATATAGTATTACTTTATTCCCTATTGTCTCCACAGGCTGACTTTCAGCATCACACATGCAAAGGAAGGCTGTAAAATAGCTTCAGCTCCAAAACTTTGCATCACTGTTCAAGGCAAGAGAAAGGAGAAAGAGGCAGTAACAGCCCCTAACGCTTCTAGCAAGAAAGCAAAAGCCTATCCATCACCCGTCAAACAGACACAGGATTAGGTCTCACTAATCACAGCAGTGTCACACATCCATCTCTAACGCACCTGCTGGGAAAGGTGAAGGTGAAGTATCACCGAGAGCCTGTACCTGGGTATACGCCCAGCTCCTTCAGAAGATACTGTTGGCAAATATTAAAGGGGAATGGAAGTTGGGGAGGTAGCAGCCTCTGCCACAGAATCCACAAGGACAGAACCCCTCTCTTTAGGTCCTAACCCACTCTTACAACCAAATCCCCACCTCCATGAGCCATAAAAAAATTGTTTTCAGTGAGGATAAGTGTTGAGCTTTGGCTCATACAACAACTTTCATCTCATCTCTTTCTACAATCAGGACTACTCACAAGGCCTAGATATTTTCAATGTTTGGAATTTTCAATGTTCAATCTATTGGTCTTCAAGTATTCAATGTATTTACAACTTTGTGCCATGAATGGATTCCACTGGATCTTTTTATGGGAGATTTCTAATGTAATATTTAGGTAAGAAGTAGAATAAAATTCATAATGTAAAAAACCATACATAGCAATGTTACCTTGTAGCATTTCTGAAAAATTCTTCCTCAGAATAATACTTAAGTAATTTTTATTATAATTAGAAACATGGAAAGCCTTACACTGTGCTTCAGGAGGTCTGGAGGTCATGCCTACACCCTCCACAGCCCCACTACAGTCCCAGGCTCCCGTGGCCCAGGCTGGCCAGGCTTGTACTGCGCATGTACTCCCTCCTATTGAGCTCATATACAATGTCAGTTGACCTCTACCAACCTAAAGAAAATAGAAAACTACGTGCTTCTTCCCATTTTATCCACAAGGAAACATTTTAAAAAGTGAACTCATAGAGCAAATTCCATTAAAGTTCTGTTAATTTTATCAATAAAAGTTACAAAGCCAAGAATGCCTACCCACATCTTCCTGAATCCAAATGTTATCTCCTTCCTACTTTGCATTAACATGAGGGAGAACATAGATAAATACACAGTCTCCATATTTCATGATTTTTACTTTAGTATTTTCTTAAATACCTCAAGAAGCTTTCTGTTCATGAAAATGTCATTTTGCCTTCAGTTTATCATGCACAGAGATTAAAATGTCTTTTAAGGAAGAAAACTTGGGAAATTGTTATAGTAATGCTGTGACTATTAACACTTGCCAGGACTGATATTTTTATCTATGGGAATCTTTGTCTCACAAACCAAAGATGATACAAACTTTGAGGAATATTTTGACATTACTAGGAATTTTGTGGAACCTTAAGAAATATTCTCAGTATCCTGGTTGCGAGAATTATGGTTAGTAAGTGAGATATTCCTCATGTTGTAAAACCTTGCTTATGCTGTGAGAAATGTGTTTAGTCAGTGAGTTTAGGTGAATATTTTATCTTAGAAGGCTAGTCAATAGCCAGATTTCTAAAACCCAGTATGAAATCCCAAAGATTGAGTGCCTACAAAACAGCTACAATTTCACTTTGCAAGCCTTTCTCTGTGCATAGTCTAAAAGCTTTGAACAATAACAATACATTTTCAAACATGACAAGTACAATAAAATCCATTTTTTAAAAACTGAAGTAAGCAAAAACAGTTTTCAGCAGTGACTCAAAGGTGACCTGCATCTCTAATGAAAGGTGAAAACGCTTATTTGTTACAAAAAATCCAAGACAGAACACACTGCTAAATGCTTGCATTGGAGACTGCCCTGTTTAGCCAACTTGATCTTGCCGCATCTCTTTATGGCCAAGCCTGGAATTTTCCACTCTCCCATCTCCTCCTCAGTTCACTTCTTCTCTCTGCAGAACAGATGCAGAGTGGTATGGATGCGATATTTCTATGAGACATTTATATGCTGAAGGAGACTGTGAAATGGGCACCTGTGAAGGTGAGAAGCAATCTGGAGATGGACCTAATGAAAACATAATGCTGGTTTTCACGGAAAACCATAGAGAGAGAAAAAATGGCGCAAGACCTTTCACCTTTTAACTAAGGTCATGTTAGCAAATTAGAGAATTGCTAAAATATTTACATCCTTGAGTGCAAGGTGACAGATTTTCTCCTTTTGCCACTGTCCCCACAGAAGAGAATATTCTGGAAGAATACAAATGTACCCTTTCCATTTCTAAAGGCTACCCCACACACTAATTCTGGAGGAGTGAAGTGGAAAGAGATGGTCAAAAGTCATCCTTCCTTCGCCCAAAATGCATTAAAAGAGACATGGTGTGGCTCTTGACACTGAAAGACTTCTTTACTGCTGTTTATCCCGTCAGTCTCAGCAGAAACTAATATCTCCAAAAACAAAGCTAATATGCCATGCGTTGGCACTAAAAAATAACTCTGTCCTGTATTTCAATAGTAAATGTGTATTGCTTCCTAAAGTGAGGTTAAGATGTTCAGTCTATTAAGCCAATATATTTATTAGCAGCTACTTAAAATGGAATTATGAATAAATATTTTCTAGCACAATAACATGTAAGTAATATGTGTCTATGTATCTTATTATTATACTAATATCCATAAAAGGAAGATATTCATTTTCTTCTTAATAAGAAGAGCCATACGTGAGAGCCAGAATTCTGTCTCACTTCTCTTGAAAACTGATTCCGTGTCTGTGAGTGAGAGGCTCCATCATCCTGTGAGCAGAGTGACAGGTCCAAAAAATCAAGTTTGATCCATGTGGGATTCTAGACAGAGTCATCCTCATCCCGACCCTTCTGCATAACAACACTGAGTCCTTCTCTTGAAGCTGCCAGTAAACAAACACTGCAGATTTCAAGCTTTGCCACTTTTTAGCATCATGTGACATTTTCAGAAAATACAGCACAGGAATCACTTGTTTGTATTTATTAACATCACTTGTGAATACCACTAAGGATGCCATCCATTAATTTCATATTTCAGAGGCATCATCAAAGCTCAACCCCACATTCTGCCTCATAAAATACCCACCTGCATGACAGACCTTTTCTAATGGCCTCACTGATGATCTTCCACCAAGTAACACTGGACCAAAAAAAGTCGAACTTTCTAAACATACAACTTTCTTTGTTCTTAGATGAGTGTTCTCAAAAAGTCTCATGTAAGCTGACGTTTCTCACCCAAATTGCATTTTGACATTTTGCTTTCTCTTGCAGTTTTCATACCAATTTTCAATTTTCTATATGAGAGTTCCCTTATTTTCCAGCAATCTCTTTTTATCTGCTTTTTTCCTCCTGTGGACATACTCCTTACAAACCTCTAAATCCTTATATTCTTCCTTTCATATGATTATTGTCAGATGTAATTGATTGCACAACTGATAAATCTTGCCGTGCATTTGAGGCTGTTTATTATATAATAAGAGGAACAAGAATGGCTCAGGTAGAAGTCTCTGTTGAAGGAGATTTGTACCAGTAATCTCTCTGCTATTTGCATGTGGGCAGCCTCAGGGGTCTCTGCATTCAGCCTCATGGGGGGGGGGGGGGAGGAAAACTATCAATTGTTTACAGGCACCTTTCTTGATTATCTGATTTAAGCTTTTCACTGCCTTTGAAATGTTTTACAACTCCATAAAGTGTAGATGATGAATAGCAATACAAAATAATAACCCTGTCTATAGAAATGCAAAGCAGTTCTGTCTGGGAAGAAATTCAGTTAACTTCCCTTTTTATCCTCCTTGTAGGATTAGCCAGTCTCTTCTATTTGCACATTTCTTTCAACATTGCTTAACTTCATATAATTTTGTGCATCTTTGACTTTTTTGAACCTCCCTCATTAACATGATTTAAATAAAACCTTTAATTTGTGTTTATTTTACATCCGCATGAAACTCACCATTTTACCTTTAGAGAAAAGAAAGATTGCTTAACTCTAGGATTTCCACTCCAACTGTGTGCCATGTGAAGAAGCCATGAAGAGATGAGGGGGAGGACACTTTTAAAATTCATGGGTAAGAAAAAATGGCCAGAAGACATTCTCCTCTCATTGAATTTAGAGAGAAATGCTACACATAGGAAGTTAACTGAGACTGTAGCTTTTCAAGGAAGAGCTTTCTATTCAGTTCTAATTCCTGCCTAAGCCTCAGCCGAAAGCTGCAGACTCAGGTTCCTTGTGCCTGTGGAACCCGGGCTGCACATGGAAGGCGCGTGGCAGACGGCAGGGGCTTTGGCTTTGGACAGAGGAAGTTCAGATCCTGGCTGCACATTTTAATTAAAGTGCGAATCGTGTCAAGTTATGGAACTCCAATGAATTTCATGTAGTTCATGCATAAAACTACGATAGTAACAATAGTAATGCTCTCTTATAAATTTATCTGAGGTTCAAATGAGAAAATAACTACAAAGCACCAAGAACAGGGCCTATTGTGTGGCAGTCATTCAATAAGCACTATTATTATTATTATTTCTTTTTTATTTAATTATTTTTCAACTACAGTATTCTGTCTTTTACTCCCATCCCAGCCCACCTCCCATGCCCCCCACCTCCCTCCCATTTCCACCCCCCTTAGTTGTTGTCCATGTGTCCTTTATACTAGTTCCTGTATTATTATTTCTTATTTGATGTCCTTCCAGAGAGTCACTTTCACTTGAACCTAAATGTCAAGATTGCCAACCAGAGTCAAGAATTACCTAATGTGAAGAATGTCCCATAAAAGACCAATACCATATGATTTCACTTATATGTATAAATGAAAGAACAAAATAAATGAACAAACAAAACAGAAAGAGACTCACAGAGGCAGAAAGCAGGTGACGGTTGCCAGAAGGGTGGAAGTTTGGGGAAACGGGTGAAAAGGATGAAGAGGTTAATTAGGACAGACTGGTAGTTATAGAATAGGGATACAAGGGGCATCATGTGGAATATAGTCATTAATACTGTAATAACTGTGTATGCTGTCAGCTGGGCACTCGCCTTATCAGAAGGATCCCTTCATAAGTTATATAAATGTAAAACCACTTGCCTCTACACCTGAAGCTAAGATAATATTAAATGTGAACTGTAATTTAGAAAAATTATAGTTGGTGTACCTGCAAGGAAAGTATAAAAGCAAGATCAGTTTTGTAAACATAAAAGCAAGAATTAAGGCATCTAAGACAAAAACATACAAAATCAATTCAAATACTGTTACAAACTGAATGTCAGACGAACATGTCAACTGACCATAATGGTGGACCACTACAGTAACTATCGTTATAATTAAAGAAATCTCACCTAAACAGTAGACAGTAGACTGTATCTGTGTTAATTCAGAACATCAGGCTAAATATAACTTCCTCTTCTTAAGTCTTTTATTCAGAAATAATGTGTCCCCTGCACTGCACTTAAATAAGAAATAAAAAGTATATAATGCATATGTATGCATGTATCAATGTGCATACATACATAGAGTTTGTATATGTGTGTTTATATAAAAGTGTACATATGTATATGTATGTGTGTATATAAAATATATATCATGTATGAACAAATATATTATAACAATAAAGCACCAATAAAAAAGCCTGACATGTGGTAGTCACTCAATAAACACTATTACTATTTCTTATTTGACATACTACCAGAGATCACTTCAACTTTAATATAAATGCCAAGATTGCCTTCTATATATGAATCTATAAAATATGTATGAATATACCATATAATAAATATATTTATATATAATTCCACCATTGGAAGAAGACATCTACCTTCTTGGATCATTAAATTATGCAAAGCATAGCTCGGTTTCACAGCTAAGACACAGGTCTAATTAAATGCATGATTCGAGGCCAGTAGTTAATTTATTCTACTTTAGTTGCCCCATTGGTAATAAGAATTCTAAGATGGCCAATTGCTTTTATAGAATCATATAGTGAAGATAAATGAGACAAAGTATGAAAAAAAATCTGTGATCGGTTTGGAAGATAGTATGCTATATAAATCCAAGCTGGCATTAACTACTCTGAAAAACACAAATTTACACACTTCAAATGCAGTAACTGGTCGTTGTTGCAAAGAACACTATTTTCCCACCTGCTCTTTCTTTCCGTACACTTTCCAGCTGCGGCTGCATAATGTTTTTCACAACCAGGCAATTACACCCCATGAATTGTGTAGTTAGTCAGCTAACCATCTGCTTTCCAAGAGCATTCAAAACGTGAAGAGGAATCTCACGTAGAAATCTCAAGCGTGATATTTGAGGCATTCTTTATTCTGGAATAATGACTGGCCTTACTTGACTTACTTGTAAGGTCCTTTGAGCACTGGAGAATAAATAAGACTGGGAAACAAGAGGAGCAAGTATAAACAATACGTTATATTTAATAGTTAAATATAAATAAATACATATGACCATTTTTCTTAATTACACTTCCCCCACAACACCCCGAATTATGAAAAGGCTGTAAATGTATGCTTCCAGACACTGAGACAAAAGCAGCAATCTTAATTAGCCAAATGAAAACAGTGAGACACATCCGATTATCCCTTTTTAGTCTAAACCAGCTTCTAAAATGACAACTGATGTGAAAATAATTAAAACAAGGCAGACAGGAAAAAAGGGAGAAATAATGTATTTAGATTCTGAAGAGAAGTAATTAGTTTTGGCAGGTTATTTATTTATGTAAATTGAAAAATAAGCTCTACTAGGCAGGGGCGATACACTCAAGTGTCTGCATTTCTGGAGCAACATGGGAGAAGAAAATGTTATAATGAAAAGCAATGAGATGAATTCCAAGCAAGGAAAGGCTCTTTAAGTTGTTACTTTTTATTTATTTATTTGTTTGTTTGTTTGTTTGTTTGTTTTTCAAGTACAGTTTTTTTGTCTATTTCTCCCATTCCAGCCCACCCCCGCCCCGTGCTCCCCACCTCCCTCCCATTTCCTCCCCCCGCCCCGAGTCCTCATTCCTGTGTCTTTCATACTTGTTCCTCCAAATCCCTCCCCTTTTTCCCCCTTAAAGTCCCTTCCCTCTCCCCTCTGGTCACTGCCCCCTTGTTCTCTATTTCGGCGTCTTTGTTTTTGTTCTGTTTGCTTGTTTGTTTTATTCTTTAGCTTCCTGTCAAAGGTGAGATCATATGGCATTTGTCTTTCAACCCTTGGCCTATTTCACTCAGCATAATGCTTTCCATTCCATCCATGTTGTTGCAAAGGGTAGGAGCTGCTTCTTTCTCTCTGCTGCATAGAATTCCATTGTGTATATGTATCACAATTTTTTGATCCATTCATTTACTGATGGGCACCTAGGTTGCTTCCAGCTCTTGGCTATTGTAAATTGTGCTGCTATGAACATTGTGGTGCATAGGTTCTTTGATATTGATGTTTTAGGATTCTTAGGATATAATCCTAGCAGTGGAATTGTTGGGTCAAAAGGCAGGTCAATTTTTATTTTTCTGAGAAAATTCCATACTGTTTTCCATAATGGTTGTACCAGTCTGCAATCCCACCAACAGTGAACTAAGGACCACTTTTCCCCACACCCTCTCCAACGTTTGTTGTTTGTTGCTTTGTTTATGATAGCCATCCTGACCGGTGTAAAGTGGTATCTCATTGTGGTTTTAATTTGCATCTCTCTGATAGCTAATGATATTGAGCATCTCTTCAGTTGTTACTTTTTAAAGGAAGACAGATTGAATTCCAAAGAAAAGACAATTCATAAAACCTGTCTCAATAGTTCTTTTTTTTATTTAGTTATTTTTCAAGTACAGTTTTTTGTCTATTTATCCCATCTGAACCCCCCCACCCATGCTCCCCACCTCCCTCCCATTTCCACCCCCCTTAGTTCTATATTACTGTGCAGAAAGAAATAAAAACAATTTTAACTAATTTCCTAAGATTACTTTTCCTCAATACAAACATAGATTTTTTTTAAAAAATTTAAACAGCTATCTTGGTTTTTGGCATTCTGTGTTAACATTCACAAGTTATTCTTTCCTCAAACTGTCATTTATATAGCTCTACTTCTTCATTTCAACTGCTTCTTTTCCCGTGGAAATCTAGACCAGTCCTGACTTCATCATGAACTCGTTATAACCACGCATGCGTTTGTCTGCCTGGGTTCCCTCACACACATGACTTCAACCATCCCCGATAAACTGATGACTCCTAATTCTATGAATCTAGTAGCATCATCCATACTTAAACATACAGCCACCTACGGTGTACTTAAATACAGAGCTCTTCTTGCATGCTTTAATTCATGCATCATTCCTGCAGAAACTATGCAGGGCTCTCATGGAAGAAGCAACAGGACACTGGAGATACAAAGAAAAAATGGTAAATTCTGCCTTGTTTTGAACGCATGTGGGGAGGAGAGATGGTTAAAGAAAAAAATTTATTCATAAACAGCCTATCTTCCATTTCTCCCTGTTCTAGTGACCATGCTAACTTAATAAAAAAGAAAATTATTTTAGGTCAATAAAAATAGAGTCCACTTGCTATGTTCAACTAACTACACTCTTGAGATGAGGACACACACATACAGGGAGTTAAATAGAAAGTAGTCACTGAAACAAAGCCATACCTTTCTTAAACAAGACTTTAGATAATGAAAGGATTTCTAATATTCATATTTAAAATATGCACACTTTTAATATACATGCATAATGCCATTGAGAATCCTCTATTATAGGCCTACTGCATTTCATCATGCCTCATTTTCTTACACTTGGCAGACAATGCATTTTTTACAGATTGTAGGTAAGACCCTCCACCAGCAAAATCAAAATGATTATGACTCTTCAAAGTCTCAGATGATGGTTAGCAAATTTTAGTAATAAGAACTTTTAATTAAGTGATGTACATCACCTTTTTAGACATAATGCAAGTGCCTACTTAGTAGAATATAGTATAGTGTAAACATGCCTTTTTTTATTTGCACTGGGAAGCCAAGAAATTTGTGCGACTCATTTTATTGTAATTTCACATTATTCAGTGATCTGGGACCAAACTGTCCAAGGTATGACTGTTTATGCATACAAATTGGCATATCCATTTATGGTCCCAGCATAGTTTAAGATATCTATTGACTGAAAAATTTCATAACCTACTACCTTCAGAAATCACATTCTTTTATGGTTATCTTCTGTGGCAAGAGGCAGGCTTGAAAAAAATAAAAAAGTAAGAGAGAGCTGTGACCTGATACTTACAGAGAAACATGTTGTGTATTTATCACAATATCTCCTCTTTCTCTTCACAAAGAAAACTATATTTCCCAGACTTCTTGAATTTATATTAAACTGTGTATCTAAAATTTCATTAATGGAAACAAGAGCTAAAAAGGTAGTTAAAGCTGATGTGTGGCCACGTGGTATCCTTCTCAACACTGTGCACTGGAAACAAAGATTCATGGTGGAGTTGTAGGACAGGGGTTAAGATCCTGAGCCATAATCTGAGAATAGTCAAGGAGGGTCACCTGACCTATAATGTGAGTGAGACATAAACCATAAGTGACTGATAAGCCACTGAGATTGGGGGATTTGTTATCACACTATAGCTTAGCCTGTCCTGACAAACACAATTTTATAAGCATCAAAAACTACAGACGTTTGATCAACAGCAAACAGTTAATATGAGTGAAAATACTGTATAGAGTTAATATGTAAGATCTAAGGCTCTGAGGACAATCGACTCCCGTTCAAGTTCTGACTCTGTCTTTTATTATTAGGTGGATGATCTTGGGCCAATTGCTTAACTTCCCTGTTCCTCAATAGTCTTATCTGTAAAATGAGACATCACTATCTGCCTTATACGCTGCCATAAAGACTAAATAAAATAATTCTTGTAAAGAGTCTACTATGGTCCCCAGAACATTGTAAGCCCTATTCTTGTATATTTACTATTGTTATGGTTAGATTTAGATAGAATATGTACATAGTTTTGAACAACATGCTTCCCAAGTATAAGTTACTATTCATGTAATTGGCCATAATGTTTTGGCGTCCTTTACAATAGTCTCTATAGAGGATAGCTAAGATATACAGTCATATGACAAGAAAGGGATGTTTCTTTTCCTGAGCCCAGAATCTTCCTGACAGTGTCTGACCACACAGCTGCTGAGACCTTACCTGGGCAGCCATGCAATGCCCTAGATAACTGCTGAAATCCTCCCAGTGTCAATGAAGTTGTATGGGCAGCGGTAATGCCTATTTACAACCTCAGGAGACCAGTTCACAATCCTACTGCTGCCTCTTACTGTGTGTATTTGTGTCAATGGAATGACTCACCATGACAGGAAAGGGCAAAAGTAACAATTCAAGTTTCCACAAGGCTAATGTAATAAGAGCTTATGAATATAACATTTTCTTAAATTCTGTACTTCATGGCATGCACTATACTCATATGAAAAAGAGATGTGTCCTGATTTCCACCTCAAAAAGTCTGTATGTTTGTGCACAAGTGATAACACTTTCATACTTTTAAAGACAGACAGATATTTAATTGCATGTATTTGTGAACAACTCTAGGTATTTCATCATTCCTTTCAGATATCCCTGGACTAGAGAACCAAGTCTAGGTATATTAGAACCTACCTCAGCAGAAAGGAAACCACTTGTTCAAATAGGCTTAGGCAACTTGAACTCATCACCATATTCTGTGTTATATGTATATATATTTGGAAAATTTCTTTTTTCTTTATTTTTTATTAAAATTATAAATAAATATAAGATCTCAGAATACTATGAATAAGCCAGTGTTCCTCTTTGACCTTGAGATTAGGAAAACCTGATATCCTAAAATATTTCCATGTTAATGACAATGGTGATGATGATGATAATGATGATAAGATCTATAAGTAAAATTTATTGACTGTTTACTATTTGCCAAATAGTCTATTAAACATTTGTATTATTCTTCATTTGTACTGATAATAATCATAAAATAAAATATAACTATCATTATCATGTATAGTTGAGAGAAATGTGGTTTAAAGGGAATAATAAACACACCAAGGTCATACAAATAAAGGTCACACGTGGTAGAGGGGGTATTAGATCCCAGGAGTCTAGATTTAATTTCTGCCTGCTTAGTCAATACAATATATTACCTCCAAGTTCCTCTATCTTCCATTCTCTCTCTGTTATATTGTATTCTTTTCACATAATACTTGTGGCATATCCAAATTACACAAAGGTCTCGTGAATTAATGTCTTCATGAACATATTGTTTTTTTAAATATTTTATTTATTTATTTTTATAAAGGAAGGGAAGGAGAGAGGGAGAGAAATATCAGTGTACAGTTGCCTTTCTTGCATCCCCTGCTGGAAACTGGCCTGCAACCCAGG